CGCGTCGTCGCTCCAATTCGCCCGCATCACGGTCGACTTGTATCGTATGTCCACACCTGACGCATTTGCTTGCGTGACCGCGGACACTACCAATCTGCTTAGCAGCGTACTTCTTTGGGGTTCTTTGTCTGCACAGCTCTGGTGATTCAGTGGCCGCATTTAAGGCGGTTGCGCGCCAGTTCGTGCTGGTTGTTCGTGGTGAGCCTTTGCTGCATTCACTTCGGCTAGGTTGGCAACCGATGCGGTTCTAACAACTTTTTCCCAACCCTCCTCTGGTTGGGTACTCGTTTTGAATAGAGCAGTGTGGTCGCCCCGTTCTGTTTCTCCTCCTCCCCCCTCCTCCCCTCCTCCTCTCCTGTCTCCTGTGTTCCCCTCTCCTCTTCTCTCGTGCCGTCGGGCTGCGATCTGCGCAACTGTCGCCACTTTCGTCGCTGGGAGGCCCAGCGGAGGTGGGTCCCACGCGGATCACCTCGAGACTTCGCCGCCCCCTGGGGGGCTTGCGATCTGCGCAACTGTTGCCACTTTCGTGGGCTCCTGGGAGGCCCAGCGGAGGTGGGTCCCACGCGGATCACCTCGAGACCTCGCCGTGCTCTGGGGGCTTGCGATCTGCGCAATTGTTGCCACTTTCGTGGGCTCCTGGGAGGCCCAGCGGAGGTGGGTCCCACGCGGATCACCTCGAGACCTCGCGGTGCCCTGGGAGCTTGCGATCTGCGCAATTGTCGCCACTTTCGTGGTCTCCTGGGAGGCCCAGCGGAGGTGGGTCCCACGCGGATCACCTCGAGACCTCGCGGTGCCCTGGGGGCTTGCGATCTGCGCAATTGTCGCCACTTTCGTGGGCTCCTGGGAGGCCCAGCGGAGGTGGGTCCCACGCGGATCACCTCGAGACCTCGCGGTGCCCTGGGGGCTGCGATCTGCGCAATTGTCGCCACTTTCGTGGGCTCCTGGGAGGCCCAGCGGAGGTGGGTCCCACGCGGATCACCTCGAGACCTCGCGGTGCCCTGGGGGCTGCGATCTGCGCAATTGTCGCCGCTTTCGTGGGCTCCTGGGAGGCCCAGCGGAGGTGGGTCCCACGCGGATCACCTCGAGACCTCGCGGTGCCCTGGGGGCTGCGATCTGCGCAATTGTCGCCACTTTCGTGGGCTCCTGGGAGGCCCAGCGGAGGTACGTCCCACGCGGATCACCTCGAGACCTCGCGGTGGCTGCGATCTGCGCAGTTGTCGCCACTTTCGTGGGCTCCTGGGAGGCCCAGCGGAGGTCCCACGCGGTTCACCTCGGGATCTCGCCGCCCCCTGGGGGGCTTGCGATCTGCGCAACTGTCGCCACTTTCGTGGGCTCCTGGGAGGCCCAGCGGAGGTACGTCCCAAGCGGATGACCTCGAGACTTCGCCGCCCCCTGGGGGTCTTGCGATCTGCGCAATTGTTGCCACATTCGTGGGCTCCTGGGAGGCCCAGCGGAGGTGGGTCCCACGCGGATCATTTCGGGACCTCGCCGCCCCTCGGGGGGCTTGCGATCTGCGCAATTGTCGCCACTTTCGTGGGCTCCTGGGGGGCCCAGCGGAGGTGGGTCCCACGCGGATCATTTCGGGACCTCGCAGCCCCCTGGGGGGCTTGCGATCTGCGCAATTGTCGCCACTTTCGTGGGCTCCTGGGAGGCCCAGCGGAGGTGGGTCCAACGCGAACAACCTCGGGACCTCGCCGCCCCTGGGGAGCTTGCGATCTGCGCAACTGTTGCCGCTTTCGTGGTGTCCTGGGAGGCCCAGCGGAGGTGGGTCCCACGCGGATCACCTCGGGACCTCGCCGCCCCTTGGGGGGCTTGCGATCTGCGCAATTGTCGCCACTTTCGTGGGCTCCTGGGAGGCCAAGCGGAGGTGGGTCCCACGTGGATAATTCCGAGGTGCGTCGTACGCGTTTCTTTCAACGCCCGTGTTTCCATTCTGTATAGTTGCCGTTCCTCTTCTTGCTGCGCTCTTCTGAAATCACTTTGTGGTGCTCCTCTTGCGCACTGGGGGTCCTTCATAATGCCAGTCAGCATTGAGTGGTCCTGAGTATAATCGCCACATGTATAGAAAGGGTTGGGTACGTCACAGGGTAATTCTGGTGCTTCATTGTCCAACCCCCTTTGTGGTAATACAGTGACCACCAATTCGCACCCGACTGCTCGCGCTTCAGTGTACCTAGTTGAGTTGCTTCCTCGGTTTTCTGGCCACTGCACGGTTCGCTTGGATTTGCAGTTCCTCCTGCACACCGTCCATCGCTGCATTTGATAGCGTGCACGGTTCGTGCACTGCCTTCGGCAACGCTTGATCGCAATTGGCACTTCCATCTGCCGTCGGCGCCTGAGGATGCTCTGCGCCGCCGACTGAAAACATGTGTGTGTGTGCGCGCGCGTTGTTGGCCTCCTTTCGTTTGTTCCTCTTCTCTCCTCTTCCAATGGTCGTGCCGGGTGTCGGCGCTCTTTTTCTGTTGCGTACGCCACGTGATGTTTCTACCATGCCACCGCCGACGTGCTTCTTCTCAGGGGTCCACAGTTCGTCCACCTTGCTTCGTAAGAAGGCGAACCTTTTTCCCAACTTTCCTTGGTTGGGTATTCGTTTTGAATAGAGCACTGTGGTCGCGTCCTTCTCTTTCTTCTCCCGCATCCCGTCTCCCGCTTCCGTCTTGTCTCCTCTTGCCTTGCGCGAGCCTGGGCATCCCTGGGAGGTTGCGATCAGCAAAGCTGTCGCCACTTTCGAGGGCTGCTGGTGGGTCCTGCGGGCTGAGGCACCGCGGGGATCTGAGCTAGACCTCGCCGTCCTTGGGAGCTGCTATCTGCGACAGTGTCGCCACATTCGAGGGCTGCTGTTGGGTCCAGCGGAGTGAGGCACCGCGGGGATCTGAGCTAGACCTCGCCGGCCCTGGGGGGCTGAGATCTGCGACACGGTCGCCACATTCGAGGGCTGCTGGTGGGTCCTGCGGACTGAGGCACCGCGGGGATTTGAGCTAGACCCCGCCGTCCCTGGGGGGGGGGCTGCGATCTGCGACATTGTCGCCACTTTGCAGGGCTGCTGGTGTGTCCTGCGGACTGAGGCACCGCGGGGATTTGAGCGAGACCTCGCCGTCCCTGGGGGGCCGCGATCGGCGACACTTTCGCCACTTTCGAGGGCTGCTGTTGTTTGCAACGGAGTGAAGCACCGCGGGGACCTGAGCGAGACCTCGCCGTCCCTGGGGGGCTGCGATCTGCGACACTGTCGCCACTTTCGAGGGCTGCTGGTGGGTCCTGCGCCGCGGGGACCTGAGCAAGACCTCGCTGTCCCCATGGGGCTGCGATCTGCGACACTGTCGCCACTTTCGAGGACAGCTGGTGGGTCCTGCGGACTGAGGCACCGCGGGGATCTGAGCTAGACCTCGCCGTCCCTGCGGGGCTGCGATGGCGACATTGTCGCCACTTTCGAGGGCTGCTGGTGGTCCAGCGGGCTGAAACACTGCGGGGACCTGAGCGAGACCTCGCCGTCCCTGGGGAGGGGGCTGCGATCTGCGGCACTGTCGCCACTTTCGAGGGCTGCTGGTGGGTCCTGCGGACTGAGGCACCGCGGGGACCTGAGCGAGACCTCGCCGTCCCGGGGGGGGGGGGGCTGCGATCTGCGACACTGTCGCCACTTTCGAGGGCTGCTGGTGGGTCCAGCGGACTGAGGCACCGCGGGGACCTGAGCGAGGCCTCGCCGTCCCTTGGGGGGCTGCGATCTGCGACACTGTCGCCACTTTGCAGGGCTGCTGGTGGGTCCTGCGGACTGAGGCACCGCGGGAACATGAGCGAGACCTCGCCGTCCCTGGGGGGCTGCGATCTGCGACACTGTCGCCACTTTCGAGGACTGCTGGGGTCCAGCGGAGTGAGGCACCGCGGGGATCTGAGCGAGACCTCGCCGTCCTTTGGGGGCTGCGATGGCGACATTGTCGCCACATTCGAGGGCTGCTGGTGGGTCCAGCGGACTGAGGCACCGCGGGGACCTGAGCGAGGCCTCGCCGTCCCTGGGGGCTGCAATCTGCCACACTGTCGCCACTTTCGAGGGCTGCTGTTGTTTGCAACGGAGTGAAGCACCGCGGGGACCTGAGCGAGACCTCGCCGTCCCTGGGGGGCTGCGATCTGCGACACTGTCGCCACTTTCGAGGGCTGCTGTTGGGTCCAGCGGAGTGAGGCACCGCGGGGACCTGAGCGAGACCTCGCCGTCCCTCGAGGGGGGGGCTGCGTTAGTAACCACTACGACGCCCTTATATCTTGATCGAGGGTTCCGAGCCTTACGATTGCTGCTCGTAAAATCACATGCGTCCAATGTTACGTCATCGCCCCCGTTGTAGCAATCCTGATGTACTTATGCCCCGCATTGCACAAGGGTTGGGTACGTCGCCAGGAACATTTTTTGAAGGAGCCCCCAATTTGTTTTACACCGAATTCATGCTCGTTGGCATTGAGTGTGTGGTAGCCTGATAAGATTGCTCTGGCGTGTGTGTGTGTGTGTGTGCTTGCAGTGGTGCGTCGACGACGGATTTTCGAGAAGCTTTATGGTAGGTGAGATGCGGAATGCGAGCGTGTGCCGAACGAGACCGGTGCAGGCACCTCGGCGATAGCGGACCAAAAAGTGTGTGTGTGTGTGTGGGTGTGTGCGTTTTCTCGCAGCGTTGTACCCGCTCCATTAGCTTGGCGCAGCATTTCTGGACAATGCCCGCGGGCTGAAACTCCACCGTCTGCCCTTGGCTCGCCGCCCCCCGCTAACAGTGCTTTCTTGCCGACCCGCGTGTGCAGGACTTGCCGTAGTCGGAGTAACGCCCGCATCTCAGTGGCCCACCCTGTACGTGTCCGTGTGTTGTGCGTAACGGTGCCCCCATTTTGTTAGTTCCTTCTGCCAGCGCAGACGACCCTTGCCTAGCCGCCGACGCAAACGTGTGTGTTGCGCGCGTGCGTGCGCGTGTGTCCATGTCAGTGAGCGCGATTGCGTGCCTGTCTTCGGCGCAACGCGTCGCCGGGAGGCTTCCTGTGGCCAGGGCATGGGACAAGGACGGGCACGAGGCGCCCTTTGCCGTTGCTTGACTGGTGAAATGGGAGAATTTTTGGCGCTTCGCCTACCCTGTCCGTCCATACAGGGACGATTGCCAGGCGGGTTTCCCTGATCATGGATGTGTGGGGTCTGCAGTGGATCAAGAGTGGGAGGCAGCCATCGGGCCGACTATCGGGATCAGAGTTCGTGACCATATCAGGGGCTGGAGCTCCCGAGCCCGTGGTCGAAGGAGAAGGAGGAGGAGGAGGAGGAGGAGCAGGAGGAGGAGCAGGTGGAAGAGGAGGGCGAGGAGGAGGTTGAGGAGGAGGAGGGAGAAGAGGAGGAGGAGGGAGAAGAGGAGGAGGTTATCGGGAACAGGATGACCATATCCAGGGGTGGAGCTCCTGAGCTTGTGGTCGAAGGAGTGGTGGAGGAGGTGTCGGACGAGAACGTGGCTAATGACGAGGTCCAGGAGGGAGGAGGCCACGGGCTCGCGCAGCCACTGCGTATGATGCAAACGCCTCTGCGTGTAATGTCTGCCTTCTTTGGTACTTTTCGAGCCTTCTTTGGGCCATCTTGGAGAACATCGACCAAACGTGGGGCGGCTTGAACATGGGTTCAGCAAATCGCCTCTTGCAGCCGTCTTGCAGGGGCTTTGGGCTTTGGTGGGCCCGTCGGGCCGTGTTGCAGCTCTTCTGGGCCCCTCCTGGAGATCTCTTGGGAATTCATGGGTTCATTTTGGGGTCTCATGGGCCCATCGGAAATGGAAAGTGACAAGGCCGAACTCGTCGATCCATTTTTTTTGTGGGGGGAGATTTTGGCTTCTCGGGGGTCTCCGTGGGGACCTCCCTGGCCACTTGGGTTTGTCCTGGGGCAGTCTTGGAGCTTCCCGAACGCATGGTGGGGTTCGTCTTGAATCATCTTGGGATGCCTTGTGCTGTCTAGGAGGCCATCCTGGGCTATCCGGGGCCCTCTTTGGAATCGTCTTGGGCCAGGGGGAAAGGGTAGGGGGAGAGGTTAAGCTGCCCCAAGCCGCAAGCCTTGTCGCCACCCAGCCTCCCACTACACAAGTAGCACCCGAGTCTCAGCCCAGGCAGGGGCCGCCATCGACAGCCATCGGGAACCAGTGCAGACGCCAGCCAGATGCGCGATGCCCGCGAGGTGCGCTGCACGTGCCAGGTGCGCCACCCGCACCAGGTGCGCCTCATTTGGCAACAGGTCGACCGCCACACCATCTGTGCCAAAAACCAGTGCAAAGTGACGGTGGGTCTGCGAGGACTGTGCAGGGGATGGTTGGGGGGCGCTGGCACTGCACGCAGCAGGCAAGGTTCCGGCCCCTCTGCTGTCCCTGCCCAGCATCAATCGGAGCGTGAATTACCTACCCCGCTTTCGCTTCCAGGCAAAACCAAGTCATACCACGCGCCCCCTCGTCAAGCGGCCTGACCAGTACAGGCCGCAGTTTGGCATCGCTTGGTATCTCTTGGAAGCGAGGGTGGTCAAAAGCGAGGTAGGTTTGTTTTCCCCCTAATCAATGCATAGTGATCGCGGGGCGTCTGCGCATGATCTAGATTTTGGTGCAGAGTGCAATTTGTTTTTCTTTTGCCAGTGATTGCGGGGGGTGCTGGCACTGCACGCAGCAGGCTATATGCTGCTATATGCCGGTCCCCCCGCCGTCCGTGTCAAAAATTGATGCAAAGTGATCGCGGGGCGCCCGCGCATGATCCAGATGAAGAAATGCACTCTACTTTTTTGCCAGGGATGGCGGGGGGGGCGGTGACAGGGTCCCAGGTTTGTCGCCGGTCGGCTTGTGGAGGGAGTGCATGTTAGTCCCAAGTCCCGCCACCGTGACAGTCCAGCATGTTGGGTGGCGACTATTCGAGGGGGCGCAGGAGGCCGTCACGTGTGACACTTCGGGCCTTTTGATGAAGGTTCTGGGGGCCTTTTGAGGGATTCTTTGGGGTCTCCAGGGGCCTGTTGCAGCGCCTTGTGGGCTCCTCGGGGGCTCTTGGGTGCTTTTTGGGCCGTCTGAGGGCGCTCTTGGGCGGTATGGGCGCTTGCAGGATCCATCTTTGGGGGCTCTCTGGGTCGTCTAGGAGCTCTCTTGGGGACCTTGAGGGCCCTCCGAGCGTCTTCGTGGGCCGACGGGGTCCTCTTGGGCCACTTGGGCCATCTTGGCACCCTCTTGGGCCGACTTGGGGCCCTTTCGGTGGCCTCCTGGACCGTCTTGAGGCCATCTTGGAGGCTTCTTGGGCTGTCTTGAGCCGACGAAAGCTCGGGGAGAATGCGAACCTCCTTTCAAACAAGGACATACAATCAGTGATTGTGGCATTGGAGCCCTCTTGGGCCGTCTAGGAGGCCTTTTGTGTGCGGTCTCGGGGCCATCTTGAGCCATCCTAGGATCTTGGCGGCCTTGGTGGCCTGCGAGGTCCGTCTTGGAGGCCATCTTGGGCGATTCGGACGCCTTGGAGAGCGCAAGGGACGCGTATTGGCCGCCCAGGGAGCCCCAGAAGTAGGGGTGGTGCAGTCAGCTGTGTGTGAGACGGAGGGCAGGGGGCCCCTGTGATGATTACCGAAACCCTGTCAGGCAACATTTGGCATTCTTCCACGCTTCAACGTGCCAAGGCGCGATAGCGGATAAGGAACAGTGATCAAGGTCCAGGTGCCCCCCCGAAGGACGGCCGTCCCGCTCACTCCCACCCATCCTCCTACCACATAGGTAGCACCAGAGTCCCAGCTGGGGCTGCCATCGACAGTCATCGGGAACGATTTTGAGGGTCGTCTAAGGGCCCACGCAGCGCACAGTGCACTTGATGCTACCCCGCGCTGCGTGCCGAGGCTGAGGAGGGCTTCCAGTTGATCCGGGCCCTGTCGAACCTCGGCCACGGTGCTGTGCGCTGCGGTTGCGCTGTAGTCGCTTTGACCCCCGTCTTTTTTATTTACGTTTCTTTTTCTGTATCTGTTTCTCCGCTGTCCAAGCCCCCGCCGCGGGGCGCGGTCGGGCGCGCAGGACTCCACAAACAGCAGTGCCAACCTTAGCGGGAGAGACCTGCTCGCCTCCATCCGGCGAGGCCGCCTGGCCGCCTGGCTGCCTGGCTGCTGCTGAGTCTTCCCGCAAGAGGCCGCCTGGCTGCTGCGTCATAGCGTCTGTGAGACGCGCTGTCGCCCCGCTCCCGTTTCTTGAGGGCGACCCGCCGTAGCTGCAATTGCCCTGGTGCCCCTGTGTCCAAAGCTTTTGAAGCGTTGGTGGTTTTCGACGACTAGGAAGGCGAGTAGCCGTTTTACACGCCATGCGAAAACAGGAGGGTGCCCGCAGACGAGAGGCGCAGCAGCGGGGAGCCCGAGCAGCAGCTCCACAGCCTCATGCAGAGGCAGGACAGCGAAGGACGCGACGACCGGGGCGATGGCACGCGACAGGACGAGAGGGGCGTTGGGGCGGGAGGACGGGAGGGGAGCGGAGGGGAGAAGGAGGGACGAACGGCCAGGGGGGAGGGGCGGGAGGCGGCGAGGGGGAGAGGCGCGCCGAGCCGGGGCAACGGGGGGGCAACCGGCTGCAGGCCGAGGACCGCGCGCAGTCCACTGCTGCTCTTGCCGTGGGGGGCCGCGACGGCCAGCGCGGCGCCGAGTCCTGTCGGGTGCCCCCCCCCCACTCCGGCCCCCGCCACAGCCACGACGGGGCCAGCAAGCGCCGACCCTGCCCCCCCCCAGCGCACGGCACGGCAAAGCGTGCGCTCACGCCGGAGATCTTCGCGCTTCGCCGTCCTGCTTTTGCTTTGCATCCACGTTGCGCGGCGGCCACGCATATGATATGATATCAAGTGCCCTTCGGCTCATCCTGCCACCGTGCCTGGGTTGGGGTGTGAGGCTGATGGGGTGTTCGTTGGGATCTCGTGGGGGGCCTCTCGGGGACCCCTGGGAGGCAGTTTGGAGGCCTCTTGAGGGCCGTTTTGGGGCCTCTTGGGGCCTCTTGGGGGTCTCTTGGGGCCTCTTGGAGGCCTTTTGGGGACTTCTTGGGGCCTCCTTGGCGCCTCTGAGGGCCTCCTGGGGGCCTCTTGTGGCGCAAGGCTCGGATTTTTGGTTTGTGTTCTCTCGCTCGCTTGGGCTCCTTTTGGGCCGTCGTGGGACACTCTTGGGCTGTCTTGGGCGCCTCTTGGGCTGTCTTGGGGCGCTCTTAGGCCGTCTCGGGGCCCTCATGGAGGCCTCTTTGGTTGCTTTGGGGTCGTCTTGGGGGCTTCCTTGGGCCGTCTTGGAGCGACTCGGGGCCCTCTTGGACCGTCTTGGGTGGGGGGCACGCGGGAAACCTCGGGATATTTGGCGCAACTTGGGGTCCAGACCCCTCAAAAGACTCCTCCGGACTGAGGATTGAGGCTCCAGGGGTTGTTGGGCAAACAACCTGAGGACACGCCCACCGTGCCCAGAGGCACGGTGGCGGATCTTTCCTTTGTCGTCTTGTGCCAGCCATGGTCAAGCGTGGGCTCTACGCAACTCGCTGCCATGATTCTGTGTCCATCCCGCGCAGTGAGGGTCACCGCTGGCGCTAAACATCGCGATTCAAAAGTGCCCCTGCCTTGCCTTGCCGCGCCGTCTCTGGTGCCTGCCTGCCCGCGAGAGTGGCGTAGTGGTGTTGCCAAGCAGATTGTTTCTGCGACCTGTCGGATGTAGTCTTCTTTGTCGTGGGCGTGTTTTTTGTGTCGTGGGCGTGTTCTTTGTGTGTTTGTTTCTTTGCTGGTTTGTTTGTCTGTTTCTTTGTTTGTTTGGTTGGTTGGTTGGTTTGTTTGTTTGTTTTTTGTTTCTCCTCCCGCCGCCTCTACTTGTTCAGCCTATCTTTGCTCGCCTCGTTAGTTTGACGCTTACCAGGCTTTGTGCAGACCTGTCCGGCGCTGCCGCCAGCAAGCCTTGCCTATTTTTTGTTCCACCTCCCCCGCCCTTGTTATTTGTTAATCGGCATGGGCTTGGCCCCCTGCCGCCGGCTGCTCTCTCGGATCGGGGCGTCCTTGCAAAAGCTGTGTTGTAGGTTACGGGCGCAGTCGTGACG